GTACAGGGTGCACTCTCCAGACAAAATTACAAGAGTGAGCTGAAGTTTTATTGGAAGACAGGAATGTAAAAAGACAAAAATACAAAGAGACCCTGGATTAACCGGCTACCACCATTAAATTTGTGTTGCTAACAGTAAACCTACACCATACGGTTTTATCTTTTTTAATGAATTTTTTATTCTCTAAGTTTATCAGCACAGAAAAATCCCCTGATTTTGTACTACAGATGCCCTATAAACATGAATTTAAATGATGAAAATGTGCCAGAGTGCCATACAATCTTATATAATTCAATTTGAACAGCCATGATGTGGCTTTACTGTCCTTTACTTGCTTAAGACTTCAATATGTTCCTATTAAGGAGGTAAAAGGTATTTTGCCATTACTTCACTGACAACATACCAAGTACATCAGAAACAAGGGGGCATTTTGGACAGAACATGAGGTGAGTGATCTGGCATCCAGACATTTAGCAAAGAAACTAGAGGACACAGGTTGCCTCATCATTCTCAGAACAGAAAGACACTGTGGGAGGGATCACAATATCATGGCCTTTCCAAATGACTGGCTCTTCCCTTCCATTAAAATACTTTATTCCTTGTGTGTGGTGCCCTTTAAGCCCTACATGTGAATTCAATACCAGCAGGAACATTTCAAATTACAACGTCCCAATACGACTGAGTCTAGGGCCTGAAGGAACAATGATACACCATGAAAACATGAGACAACTTAAACCTGATGCCTTATTTAGTACCATTATATCTGTCCATGAAAACCAGATATTTTAACGTTTCTTTCTTTGGTCTGAGTCAGTATTTTGTGGCATATCTCATATATAACAGCCTTTGCAAAGCAACTATTAAAACATCATTTTGATAGGTCAAACTTTGTACTAGAAACTTTGCACCAATGGAAGTTTGCCATATAAAAATGGCTGAACTCCTATGCCAGATGGCTTTTGACTGGGTCATCCAAAACATATTCTGGACCTTGGTATGCCCTGCAAACATAATGAATTCCTGAAAGAATTTTAAATAAAAATATAAATCTATATACAATTATGCATATAGCATAGCCAAGCAAAAAAATCTTGTACCATTCAGGTTTATAAACAACATGACAAAAAGGTATTCATTTCTCTGTCCCACATTCTTTGTGGTTTCCATAAGGTCAATGCCAACAAGCCAAAATGTAAATGTAAAAGAGTGCCTTTGGTTGGTTGTAATGCTACAAGGCTTTTGCGTCAGTACGAGTGTACCTCTTTATTTCCAGAACATATGCAAACTCACACGGATTTAATATGTATGGTCTACATAAAACACTGTATTAAAACTACTACTGAGCAACCTAGTAGAACACTTGAAATCTGCTCAATGTCAGAAGTAAACGTGCCCATGCAACTTTAACTCAATCACCTTCATGCACAGGCATTATAATGTACTTCTTAATCACAGGACTGTTTAACATTTTTTCCACAGGATTCCTGCCTCATCCACTAAGCAGAATTAAAAATGATTACTTACAAGTTATTTTAACAGCATTGCCTGGTGTATATTCTTGTTTAATGCAGTTTTCAAACTCTGCTAACCTACCACGTTTGACTTTGTAAATAAAAAAAAAAGGTACAGTAAACCTGCTGTCTTGATGCCACTGCCTGGGAGGATCTGATTTAAAACACTGAACCCATAAAGAGCTTATGAGCTTATTTCCTCTTTTGTTGTTGTTGTGGGATAGGTTTGGTTGAGGCAGAGGTTTGCTGGCTTGGTATTATTTCCTAGCAAGGCAGGTTTTTCGCAAGGCAGGTTTTTTGCCAGTAAATGTAGGGGATTCCATATCATGGAGACTAGCAATCTACAATGTGAAAGCTCAAACATTAAAAGATTTATTCGCAGTGTTTGTTAATTTAACTCTCTCAGCTTGTCTTAGCCATTTAATTTCTTTTCTTTTGTTTTTTGGTTTGGGTTTGTTTGTTTGTTTGGGGTTTTATTATTTTATTTTTTTTTTAAATTGTGCTGACATTACTAAGGGGCGCCTTATTTATGTGCTGTTGGTTCGGCTTGTATCTGTGGCTATGACATCTCTATATACTAATGTCTAGAAACATGACAGTGCTCATGATTTTTCAGTGGACGTTAAAAGAACAGTGACTATTAGTAACAGTGGATGCCAATTCTATTAGCAGTCATTACACCATAATATTTCAAACAATGTATTTGTTTCAAATAATCAACAAAGTCTATGCTAGCAATGTAAATACTTGTAACGCTTGCACAGTCTAAGCCTTTGAAAAGAAGGAAATTAAGAACCTCTATATGCTATGCAACCTACATAGATCACATAAGACAGTAGCCACATAAAAGCTAATGAGCATTTTATCAATGATTACATGGAAATCAAAGTCTACACATATCAAGAAAATCTATTTAATTACTATCTACACCAACCTTACATTGATTATTTTTTGGTCATTTTTTATGCAACTGTTAATTGTTCTCTTTAATAGAAAGCTTCCAGCAATAATTGGTACTAGTTACAGTAATAACATTTTGTTGAAGTAGTAATAAAGGCACATTTTAGTAAGACAGTAGCACTTTTATGGTGTATTTCTTATGTGTAATACAGTTTTCATTTCACATGAATCCGTGCAAGTCCCAGTTTTGCAATACCTTTGGAAAACTTTTAAAAGCACTTAGTTTCTATTTAGTCACCTAAGTATGTCTTGAAAGCCTGTCAGAATCCTAGTCTGAACCCCAGTGAGGATGACTCCCTTGAGCAAACTCTCAATCTCAATTTTGACTTTCTTACACCCGCTTCCTAGCCCTGCACACAGCATACCAAGACACATCCAAAGTCACTCACGTGACTGAAGCTGGAAACAAAAAACTATTTCCAAAGATAGTCAAACTTGATAACATTTAAGCAAGCTTCAGATGACGCGCTATCTGCTGGCTAGCCAATAATCACAAATCACTCACTACTATGACCAAAAGTAACATCTAATGAGTAAGGTAACCTTGAAACAGCACTGGAACAGGCTTCTAAATACCAGTGTTTCCCACTATTCTGAACTGAACACATATTGCAAACTCCGGTAATCTTAACTTAGCACTGAGTCCTTTTGGAAGCTAAGCAGAACAACTTTCTTTTCAAAATGCTGATTTTGCAGAGCAGGTCTGCATAATCTAATAATTTGCTACTTTAAAGCATGAAATTAAACTGTGTTATTGCAACTCTTAGCAGTAGAAAGAACTCAGCTGCAGCTGAAAAAAATCCCAATTCTACTTAACCTGACTGCCTAGAGAGGACAAGATCCACTCCTGAGAGAGTGCTCAAAATTATGTAGTCTTCAGGCATTGTTGGCACATCTTTATCAGAAGGCTACAGGCCAGCAGCTTTTTAAACCCTAGCAGTCAGATTTTTCTATCGAATGTCAGGTGCCTGCTGTGAAAGACTTGGCCTGTGACCTGTGACTGTTCACGTTAATGGTATGGCAAGACAAACACAGGTTGTTAACATGAAATCCAACTTGGGGATCTGCAAGTTTTTGATGAATAGCGCAGCAGATCACAAAAACTTGTATGTGGGCCAGAAGAGCTTATTTATGAGAACAATGTGAAATGATTCCAGCGCATGTCAAATTACTAATCTTACCTGCTGCAGATGACAGAGGGGCTGATAATGGGGTCTGACAGGCTAGGTGCACTCTGAGTAGAAGTTAAGACTTTGTGCGGCTTTAAGCCTTGCTTGGTGTCAACATCTGTAGAGTCTGGAAATGATACAGAAGATGTTTTCCCGGTAGGACTTGTGGCAGGTGTCCCCTGAATCGGTGAATGGCACGGTGAGGTGAGAGGTGAAACGTTTGGCGGGATACCTGGCAAGAGAAGAGAAGAGTCTTGTCACTTAACAGAAATGGCAGATGGTTGTATGAGTTCACTGTGCAGAAATACTCCTCTTGAGACGAGCAGGTACCAGCATAGCTTCCAAATGGAAAAATAAGAGAAAACCCTCCTCCACTCAGAGCCAAGCCCACAGCTGTGAAAGAGATGAAGCTCCATTAATACCAGCCACTTCTACCTGCTGAAGATCTGGCTCAAAATACAAAGCATATTCTCCCTGTTGAGCAGGATGCACTAACTGGCAGGCGTGAAATGAAAGGCATGCGGTAATGTCATGACTACTGGTATCAACATGTTCTAGTGACAGAGACACCAAACTCCAAACAGGCAGTTCCCAGACTCATCTGCAGTTTCTCTTTGCTTCACTGCCTCCAACTGCAAAGCAGGAACAAGAAAGGTTTGCACATATTCCCAGCAAATTTGAATTTCTACATGTGTGAAGATTAGCAATAAACCAAAAAAGCAATTTTTAGTAGTCATACCTTGCATGACTATAAAATACTGCACTTATGGTGCCATTTCCACATTCCTCACAGATTTTGGCCTTGATCTTGTGCAGCTTGAGTTTATTTTTCAGTATCTGTTGCTCACTATGAGACACTTGTGACAATTACCTGTACCACATGGTATTGTACTCCTGAGCTAGTGGATCAGAAGCTGCCGATATCCACATGTGTGAACACTAGCAAGATGTAGTTCTCTCTCCCCCGTATTCTATCTAAGCACCACTGCCAAGAAGAAATGCATCAGACAGTCCAGGGTTTAAGACAAAGTGCCACCTTCTTTTTGAATCCACTTTACATTTTCTAGTCTCAGACAAAAAGGTCCCATTCACAATCAAGTGCAGAGGAGTAAAAATAATCTATCTTAAAAGGGAATGCATGTAAATTTACTTAACTCCTGTTCTAAAGTTTGTAGGAACTCAGCCCCACTTCATTTACCTCTTCATCTTCAAAGCCAAATGATATAAAGACCTTAGGAACTTTACATGGTTTTATGTTTGAATTGTGCTCACTATCTAAATTCATTCCAGATACAAAAATTGTCTTAGAATAAGGCAATGTGTTGATCTAAGTTTATGCAATACTAACCTTGCAGGATATATGTGTACACGTCCAGTGGTTCTTCCTGATAACAACTTACTGTGATATGAGCTTAAAATATGATTTACTGTTGACAATCCAAGAGTTAAAAATAATCTGTGACAGTTACTACACTGTAATTTTGAGATATCCAACATCTCCTAAGTTTTGATTAGGCTATTTCTTCAGCAAACATGTGCTATGTATTACTGTCTTAATTCAATAACTGCAACTAGGATATTATGTTAGTCTTGAGATCAGAACCCTACAGCCTTTAGAGCAATTAAAAAGTTATCAGATGGCCATGACATATGGAAATTGCTTTAAAACACAGAAAGCTTCTGTTTCACATTTACTAATCCTTTGAGATATCTGCTTTCCATCCAACAAAAATATGTCTTTAAAAACATTTTGCAGTCTGTTAGTTGCACAGGGGATTTAGTTGGATTATTATCTATCTTTGAGCTATACGTTACCAGGTAATTGTCATGACAGTTAAGAGAATACAACGTATATGGTCATCTTTCAACAATTCAAAGTAAGTCTTGGGAATTTAAACAGCAATTTTCACAATAAAGTTTCTAATCACAGCTGGCTTTCTACTGCTAGCCTGGGCTTCTGTCTCTTGAAACACGTTTGGCTGTGATTTTTTTTTTTTTTTAGAAGAGTAATTTTCCAGGGTAGGTAACAAAAAAAAAAAAGAAAAAATTACCAGAAAAATGCAAATCTATTTTCAATAATCCAACTTTTAACCATTAATTGGCAAAAGTGAGAGAAAACATGTCTTGCTACAGCAAGGAATTTTGAACAATCAAGATAAGAGAAGAATAACAATATAGGGAGAATTTTAAGTACATCCATCTGCTTAGATCCTCCAGAACTTATGCACATGTGCAGTGTTGAAGAAATAAAACAGTAACTTCAATGTGATGTGAAATTACATATGAAAACACTTGAGTTTACCTCAGTTTTGCCAAAATAGGTATAGCTAGCAGTAATTTAAAATGCTAATTTCTAATGCATAATTGAACACACATTTCGTAAATTAACAGATTAACAGATTTTACTAGAGCAACTTTACCAAAAACTATTACATTTTGCCAATGGAACTAATATATAAAAATCTGATTTGTATTAACTAGTGCAAATTGAAGCAATTCTTTAGTTGGAACATGAAAACAAATCGTAATTAAAAATTCATGATTGTAAACAGTCTAAAACTTCAAAATACCCATCTTCTGCATAAAATGCTGAGCCAAAATTTTTAGTCCTGTCAATCAGCCATTAGGAATTGCTTGTGAAGGAATGGAGCTCTCTGTTCATCACGAGGGAGCTCATTTATCTGGGCAACAGAGATGACTACGAACACTTTCTGGAAGCAGAAGAGACTAAATGTAAAACTGACTCATGGCGTTGATAAGTCTTGTTCTCCAAGTGTAAAATATTATACAAACACACACACCTCTCTGAAGTTAATGGGTTAATCTCTAAAAAATTCACAAGCCTAAGTTGGATTTGTTTTGTTCTAAAATAAATTCCTAGATTCTTGGTACTACATTTCCATTATTTTCCAGGTTCAATTTTATTCATTTGCCTATGTGCCTATTACCTTTTAAGACAGTATCGTGTTACTTAATCTTCACTGTGATATAACAAAGCAGCTTCTGTACAAAAGGAGATTAAATAAACTCTTCAGTTTGAAAAGGAGATGTGATGTGACAGCGCTAGATATGCAGAATAATTGTGCAGCCATATCTTTAAACCCATCTCTAAGTTGGGATTCTCTGACTGTTCTGATGTCAGACCTCAGGCATCTATCAATTTCCATCTGATGTCTGGGTGGCCGGTATCTCCGAGTAAAATTATGCCAACATTACTCCATGTTGGGAAAAAAAAAATGGTCTTATTTAAGTAAGGCAGGCCTTGTGTTCATTTCAAATTGCAAGTTAAAGCAGGGGTAAACATTATCCTGCATTTGTACAGGGAAGAGAACCACGTTACTGTGGATTAAGACTGCTTCGTAGCTGTCACGTTGCACATTTCATCATCAATTAATAAGTCACCCTCTTTCCAAAAACAGGAGTCATTTTTCAAAGGCACAAAAAGCTGAGTAAAAAGCCTCATATTTCTCATCTCTAAAAATCATTAAGAACTACTTGGACTTTCTCAATAATGAACACACAGAGACAGACCTCTGAGTTACAATGGCTTTGTCTTGTATTTGTTTGCAAAAGATGGGTCAGTTGCTGCCTACAGCTCCAAATGGCATTATGCAGGTTTTGCTTCAGGAAATCTCAGTCAGGCAATATACACAGACAGTTAATCTAACAAATGTCATAGAAAACATTCTGTTCTCAGCCCTGTTGTAGTCAAGGGAATTACATGGATATAAATTACTACAGAATTTAGTATCGCACTTGCGGCACCACATCATGACTAACCTCTATAAATCATAACAGTCAAAACATTTACAATGGCACCACTATGAGCTATAGGATTTTAAGCCATTGTTTTTTCAAAAATAGAGGAAATAATTATATTTATATTGATGGAAAAATATGAAAGGACACAGATTGGACAGAGATCAAAAGCAGCTGCATGTGCTAGCCATGGGGAAGCAGCTAAGTGAGGCTGACAGTGCCACGGATGCCCACTCACCTTGCCGGCTCTGCCTTTTGGCATTCAGATGGTTGGTAGAAGACATGGCATAGGAGGTGGAGAAGGACCTGCTCTTCGTGATTGTCATCAGAATTGAGCTGTTCCAGGAGTCACTGCTGCAAAACCAGAGCACAAACAAGCATTGTTCAACACAGTAAAAAGCCTCAACGACAGATCTTAAGAGGTTAGGAGCCACAGCAAGAAGTATGCAATACTGAAATAGCACAAATCTGACAAGGAGAACAGCATCTATCTGCTGGCTGAACTGCTATTTGTGAGGCACTCAGTATTGTATTCTGCAAAAATATTTACAAAGAGACACTCCAAAGCTGGACTTCCTTCAGTGCTGAGGCCTATTCACTTTATTTATACAAAGATGTCTTCATTATATTGTTCTGACAGTACAAAGAGGCTTAAAAGTTGACTTGAAATAAGTTAAATTTATATTCTCTTTTCATGCCTCCTTACAAGAGCCAGAAGTGCCAGAAGTTCTCAGCGTAAATGAAAAATCAGTCTCCTTGACTCCTTTGCTGCAACCACCAAGGCAGATACCCAGTAACCCTTTGGGCACTGGAGGAGCGACTCAGGAGACTGGAAGAGGCTCGCAAAAGCCCTGCATTGCTAGTGGTGTGCCTCTTCTCTGGGTGAAGCGCTTCATGCTCTAGCCAACTGAAATGCATGCTGCATCTCAAAAAAAATTCTACTGACAGACCCTGAAGACATTTGCAACTGATCTAAGAGAAACTCACTGAAGGAAAATAGGGTGCATGTGTCTGTGTGCGTGGGGAACAAATGCTGGTCCCCTATAACAGGACGAGTGCATGCTTTCAGCCTTCAAGCTATAACTGCATACCAGAAGAGGCCAAATACTTCTGTAAAGCAAGAGAATTGTATTTGTAATTGTCTTCCCGAATGACACTCATCAAATATTATCTTCTTGCAGAGATGTAGCACTGTCTCTTATGAAGCCTATGACTTCTCTGGACAGATCCACTAGGCCTCTCAGGCTCCACAATTCTCCTAACAGCCTCACGTCCAAGTGGTGAGATGACATGCTAGGCAGAAGACAGCCTTTTAAAGCAGCCTAGTCTCAGCTGAACTTGAAAAAAAACTTAAAAAAAAAAAAGTGTTCTGAAAGACAAAAGCATGTAACATTGTCTTAACCCTACAAACACCACTGTTTTGTAAGAGCAAGCTCTACCTACAAAAATATTTGCTGGCTGTCTTCATTGGCCCAAATTCTTATAAATCTGCGATGAAGTAAGATGAATAAAGAATCTAGCTGGGGGTTTGGTTTTTTTGTTTTGTGGTTTTGTTTTTTAATTGACAGAAAGAATATAACATTCTGGCCCACTGTAAAGAAAAACCAAACCAAACCAAACACCCCCAAACCACATTCTTTGACTTCTTAAGGGAGAACCACTGGATATAGAAGTGACTGACAGAAGGAATGTCAAAGCTCTATTACTTTTCCCAAATAATTTGAAGCTATAAGAGGACCATGTCTTACCAGTTTTGGGTTGGAAGAATACAGGATTACTAACCTTAAACAGAGATTTAAGGAGGACTTTTGCAAATATGTGACTATAGAAATCTAGACGTGATGTCCCAGACTGTGAGGAACAAGTTGCAGGTTTTATAACCGCAGAATCTGCCATAGGACAATTGCAGTGTCATTTCCCCTCTCCAACCCTTCAACCCATGAAATGTTTCTTTCTCTGTGGCCTGTGGTGTACTTGAATTTGGTACAGGGGAAGTGGCACATAATCAAGATCTTTTATTCCCTTCAGTTTAAGATTCTTTTCATTGAAAGCAAATCTGTATTGCTCTGCCAAAATTTCTAAAGTGAGACTTATAGGATTCATTTTTCCCCTTTCTGGAATACACATTGTTTCTCCTACTGTAAAAGAAGAAGTGCAAACAGTAGGGCTGGGAGGCTTGACAGAGCTATAATTATACAATTGGCGACATTAAACGTAGGAAGAATTGATAGCCTGCTTAGTTGGCTCATCACGCAGAGTTATATAACAACTGTAGAAAAGGACCAACAATAATATTTAATTGCTCTCCTTCTGCCTCTGATTCCCATCTTAGGACGCTTACACACTACGTGAGAGTCTGAGATCAACAGTATAAATCAAATGCACCCTGGGAACCACAGGCCAGTGACTGAAGAACATCTCCATTTGGTTATAGCTTCTTTATATTTACTTTCACTGAGATATACAGGACTCCTCACAAAGGGAACTTTGGCTAACCACGTATTTTTCTTGCACCAGACATTCAGAATACTCTTCAGGCTGCCTTGAGCACCTAGGTGCCCTGCACAAGAGCCTCCTCTATGGGAAGGTTTATGTATCTGGAAGAAAGGCCGACCAAAGCAGCTGTCTGGGGCTGCATTCACTCAAGCTATCCAACAGCAAACACCAGTGATGTCGGGCCTTCTCAGGTCCACTACCAGCACCAAATATTGAATGGCAGAAGAACATGTGATTCTTCTGATATCACAACTTTGAATTCTCTTCTTGAATTTGGTGCTTTTGCTCTGCTCTTCCTTTCC